ATCATTCGCTTATCAAATATTTTTTGAGAGCTTATTATGTGTCCGATATTGGAAACACAGTAGTGACGAAAATATCGAAACTCTCTGTGCCTTAATGACATCATAGTCAATCGCTTCATCTCAAAAAACAATCCCATTTTGTTTCTCTAAAATGAAGGATTTATATTGAGTATTTTTAATTCTTTAAAAATGAAATCCATATTATTTTTCTGAATCTGCGAAAGCAACTTTTGGAGTATAACCTGAAATCCACTCTTAACAGTGGCTGAAACTATTTGTTGTATCATTGTATTCAGACAGCAAACAGGGGAAGGTAAGAAACTGACATTCTTAGAGGACTCATTTAAACTTGCTAATTTTGGTTTATACAATCTAGACAAATTATGAGCCTTATTAGCCTATTACCTGGTAACTAAATTCCTTGGATGGGACCCAAGAAAGAAGCAGAACAATCTTAGGAGAAATCCTCCACATAATGAGTAATTTTACAGACATTTCCAGCATACAAGTCTATAAAAATATAGATTGCCTAGTGAAACAACTATATCAGCGTTATCGTTTCTTCAGAGTAGGATTTGATCTTTGTTTCCAAAGTGCTTGCTACTAAAGAAAGAGGTAGTCAAAAATCCAAATCATGTATTCAAATCCAATTGTTATCTCTAATCTTTATTTATCATCAAGATATATTTTCCCCACTGGGGCGCCTGGGTGGCTTAGTCGGTTAAGCGTCCAACTTTCGCTTGGGTCATGATCTCGCGGTTCGTGGGTTCGAGCCCCGCGTCGGGCTCTGTGCTGACTGTCAGCTCAGAGCCTGGAGCCTGTTTCAGTCTGTGACTCCCTCTCTCTCTGACCCTCCCCTGCTCACGCTGTCTCTCTCTCTCTCTCTCTCCTAGAAATAAATAAAACATTAAAAAAAAATTAAAAAAAAAAAAAAAAAGATATATTTTCCCCACAATATAACAGGCATAGTAACAGTCCCTCAAGCATAATTTCTCAATTTCAAAATGGTAAGTTTTTTAAATGTCTTCACTTACTCATTTTTGCCAGATAAACTAGTATCATCAATTACATTTCAGATAAGACCAAAACACCTTTCACTTTAAATATCCTTTCCCTCACAGGGACCTACAAAGACATCAAAAGTGATCCTAGATACGAGCCTGCAGTTTCTAATCTCTGTGTCATTCTCAAAAGAGAAAAGGACTTGAGTATCTGCAAGGAGAAAAAAAGAAAAGCATATCTAAGAGGTTCTTCCATTTATTTATTTATTTTTAATTTTTTAAAAATTTATTTCTGAGAGAGAGACAGTGCAACCAGGGGAGAGCCAGAGAGGGAGACACAGAATCTGAAACAGACTCCAGGCTCTGAGCTGGCTGTCAGCACGGAGCCCGACAAGGGGCTCGAACCCAAGAACCGTTAGATCATGACCTGAGCCGAAGTCGGATGCTTAACCGACTGAGCCACACAGGCGCGGCCCCCCACAACTAATTTTCAATTTACAAAATATGTTTAAAGTTTGCCAAGGCAAGCTAACTCCACCAACTTCAAAGGACAATGTAAGCATCCTACTGTTAGTTTCATATGCTATTTGCTGTATGGTTTTTTTTTTTTTTAAGTTTATTCATATATTTTGAGATAGAGAGCATGCAGGAAAGGAGCAGAGAGAGAAGAAGGAGACAGAGCCCAAGCAGTCTCCGTGCTGTCAGCACTGAGCCCGACATGAGGCTTGATCTCATGAACTGGGAGATCATGCATGACCTGAGCTGAAATCAAGAGTCAGATACTTAAAAGACTGATCCACATAGGCACCCCCATGTTTATTTTTAAGGTGTTTCAAGAATATGGGCACCACCATCACATCAAATAACTGCAAATGTGTAAGTGGTGAAATTGCTAGCAAGAAGAGATGATGAAGAGATGACAGAGGATAGAAAGTGATGGAACTTTACATAAAATATAATTATCAATTATTTTTTTGTTTCCTACAATAATCCAAACTATTAAGTAGCTTCTAGAACTAGATTCTCAACTCAGGTTTATCAAATATAAAATTGCTAAAGGAAACCTTAAAACATCCATTTATATTTAAAAACCTCATATTGATAAACATTGTTTACTTGATTTATATTTTAGAATTCAATAAACCAGAAGACTGATAAAACTGATGAGACATTACTTAGAAGAATTATTACTATAAAATACTAATTATCCAGTTCTCCTGCTGCTCACCTTCTAGAGAGAACCCTTATTACTGGCAGCTAGTTATAATGGGAGAGGAGGGGAGGGGAGGTCCGGCTTTAGAACCAGGAAGACATGGGTTTGAACTCTGATGCACCACACCTTGAACTTACTTTACATCTCTAAAATAGGAATTTATTAATACCTACCTTGAAAGACTGTTATTAGTGAAATACATGTAAAGCAGCTGGCACATAGTAGGAACTGAAGAAACCTTAGCCGCTATTATTATCGTATTCTCAGAAGTACATCCAAGAGAAGATATAAGAAAGAACATGACAGGGAAATACAGCCTAGGTTACATTTAACTGCCAAGCCAAAACAAAACAAAACCAAACAAATAAACACACTCACTATGACAGTTCAAGTAAAACTCTGGGCTGAACTTTTTGTTCACATTTTAGATATATAAAATAATATTGTAGTACCTCTTTGTAAATACATAAAATTCAAAATCAGCTACAAATCCAGTTATTTTGGAGCTAAATAAAAATGAAAGATTATTATCACATTGTAAAACAGATAATTTTATGAACAGGTGAGATGATTTCACCATTGGGGGAAAAATGCAGAAACTAAGATTTAAAAAGGCTTATGAAAGGATAGTAAAAGAGTCCTACCTTTAAACCGACTGCTATAAGATCTGTAACAACACTGTATGGAAAAAGTAAAAAGAGAAAATGGAAAACAAAGTTAGAGAACAAGTTTTTAAAAGACAGAGATAAGATTAAAGAAAAAAAGGAAAAGCATTATAATAAAAATTAATAAAAATAAGAATGTGATGAGTTGTGAAATGTTAATACAAAAAAAAAGTGATGGGCCAGTCTAGCAACAGCAGAGTGTAAAAGCAAAGCTTTAATCACAATGTAAGAAACAAATAGATCAAATTCTTTTAGTATTTATTAAAGTATAACTCTTTCAATAAAATGAGAATGTGTTTATCCATTTACCGCTATTTAACAAATCAAAACCAAAATTTGAAATCACCAAAGTTCATTCTTTTACACTAGTCTGAATTATCATGTTTAAAATTCTAAATGAAGTAAAACCAGCGAGTGGCTTTTACAAAAATAGAAGGTATCTTGCAAATTTGCATCTACCACCCAGAACAGCTCACCAAAATGCATCTAAGATAGTCTCCCAGAACTAAAATAAATGCAAACATCAAATTTCAGACATGAAAGATTTCAAAGATTTGCCTTTTAAAAAAAAATTCTACCACATCAAAACTGTGTTTAAGTATAAATTATCTCAGGAGGAAATGAACACATACACACACACACAAAGACAGTTGGAATTTGAGGAAGAACTAGAAAGATATATAGACTGGTGGTTTGTTGTTTCTTTCTTAACTATCTGAAATAATGAAAAAGGACCTTTTTCAAGCAGTGGGAAAATGCAGAAAGTTAACTAGCCTTCAGAAGCAATAATTCACTGTATTCAAAACCACATCCCTTAACCCCAAGGTGTAAAAACCCTATAAAGTTCTCCCAAGAAAAAATCCATCTCTTTTAATCCCTGAGAAATCATCCTTAATTACAATTTACCTCCATATCTCCTAAAGTTCTAAGTCTACTTATTACTAAGAACCTTTACTGCCATTACTTAATAAACAAATTTATGAATCTGGATTGTTCAGTGATGTATATTTAATTGTTTTAAACAACCACCATGTAGATTTAAAATTTTTCCTTAGACTTGTGAAACTTGAAATTCATTTGTCTGAAGTTTAAATGTGTCAAATAACTGTGCGTAAGAATTAAGATTGTATCGGTCCTGAATTTACCTTCCAGGATCTTACTGTCTCACATATTTCAACGAATGAACAATTTATTCTTAGCTTTAATAACACATAAAGGCTGAAGAGTTATTAAACGTTCCAAAAGAGTAAGTCTGCACTTCTCAGTTACCCAAGAGACTGACAGCCAAAATGCAGAACTCGAGTGCTCTTTATCATCACTATAAATTTTCCAATGCCAAAAGCTACCCTGCTTCTACAGCTCAAGTCAAACCATCTAACGGACAACACACTACACACAGTGAGACACCAATTTCACAACCTCCCTAAACTGAAAAACTGGCATAATTACACAAATAATTAAAACAGCAAAACTTTACACCCATACAAAGTGTAATTGAACAATGTGATGTGAAGTGAGTTTTCAACAACGTTCTCAGAAAAGTTTCAATTAAACAATAAAAATAGCTTCAATTAAATTAAAACAAAATAAAGTATATCACAACCATGAATGAAATCTAAAATGGCACTTTGTCTAAAGTCTGTAGCAGTTTGCAATTAGCATTCAAATGAGTGAATCCAAATATCCCTTACACTTCATACTGTTAAAGTACATAAATTAAGTCTAACGAAGGCAAAAATTGTTGGAAGATTCCATTGTCTTTACACAGCATGGCAACAATCATCAACTAATGGTAACATGCACAAGGCTTTTACTGTTTAAGCAAGTTTCATCTATTCTACAGCCAAGGGATTTTGCAGATACCTGGTCTTCAAAAACAAGCAAAAGGCCAAACAAAACCTCAAGTACATAATGGGAACAGGTAAGAGGATTTGCAAGCTCTAACAGCGCTGGAGATATTTCAAAAATCTTGATGTACATATGCTACAATAATTAATCTACGAAGGTCCTAATCCAGTCCTTTCCTTAAACATGAAATTAACTGTCAGGTCCCACGCCAAACCCCCGGGTCTTCAGACAAATATTTACATCGGCGATTCCAAATCTTTTTTAGTCACGGACCTCATTAACTTTTAAAGAGCTCCCCGAAAATTGCAGAAATTCACGGAGTTTCTTTTGGGGGGTCGTGGGAGGGGAGGGCGCCCACAGCCACCAAGTCCAGACGCCCGGTATACAGATCTCGCTGGCCCAGCTCACAGCCCAAGTCCGGAGACCTCCGCGGGTCCCCACCCCCCGCACGTCGACACCCCGCGGGGGAATCTGGCTTCGGGACCCGGTCGCCGCCCAGACGTGCACCGACGCGTGCACTCGCCGTCCGCCGCTCCGCGGCCACTCGCCTCCCCGCCAGGGGAAGCTCCGGCGCTCGCCCCACCTCACCGGTAAACAGCAACTCCCCAAGAGGGAGGCCGCCCGCCCCGAGCGCCGCCTCCGCCTCCCCCAGCGCCGCGCACCATTTTCTGAGAGGAAGTGTCTGCAGGCCGGGCAGGGCTCCCCGGACTCTGCGCGCGGAGGGCGGACCCCGGCACCCGGCGGCTGCACCCGGCTTTCCTCCGCTTCCGGGTGTGAGGATGGGAAGGGGCGGACATTACGGGGGCGCCCCGTGGGGGAAGGAGAGGCGGCGGCGGACCGCCCCCCCACCCCGAGACTCGGGCCGCGCGGAAGCCCCGCCGTCGGGCTCGGCCGGAGCAGCTCCTCCGGCCGCCGACGCCGCGCCCGGCTCCCCGGCCGCGGCGCGTCCGGCCGAGAGTCGAAAGGAAGCGGGGCAAGCTCAGCCGATGGGCCGCCGAGTACTTACCCATCCATGGCCCAGACGGAGGAGGGCACGGTGCGGGGACTGACGGGCTCACCGCGAGCGGAGGGCGGAGGCGGCGGCAGCTGGGCGGCTCCGGGGACAGGCAAGCGGCGCCTCTCCGGAGCCCCGCCGGGAGGGAGGTGGAAGGAGAGTGGGAAACAGGGGCGGAGACCAGGGACGCTCCCGCCACCGCCGCGCCCCCGCCTTCCCCACCCCGCAAGCGCGTCCCCGCCTCGCCTCACCCGCCCCTTAGCGTCGACGCCCTCCCTCCGCCCCGCCCCCAGCCGGCCTCCGGCTCGGCTCCAGGGCGCCCTCTTCCTGCCGTCGCCCTTGGACTCCGCCTCCCGGCCTCTCATCCCAGCGCACGCGCGCGCCTCGCCCCTGCCTCCCTTCGGCGTTCACGGGAGCGCGCTCCTTGTGCTTCCCGCTTCGCTGCCCCGCCCGCCCACCCGCGGGCTCTGCCGGCCTTCCGGCGGGCCGCCCTGGGCCGCCCGGCTCCGACTCCGCAGTCTCCCGGCGGGAAGAGCGCTGGAGACCCGACTCCGGAGTGTAGGTAGGAGTGTCTGGCCAGGACCCCACGACCGCGGCAGAATTGCCCCGGTGAGCGAGGCTGGCGGTGGCTCGACCCCAAGCAGCCAGGCCAGGCGCGGGCAGTGGTCTTCCGAAGCCTCGGCCCTTGCAACCCACAGAAGCCCGGGTTCGGGACCCGGGCCGGCGCGAACTCCAGCGCGGGACTCGCCGGGCGTCCGTCCGATCCTGTGAGTGGATCTCTGGGACTCCCAGTGGCCCGATAGATGTGGTTGAGATTAAAATGAATGAGGTGAGAGAGACTGCCGGAACTTAACAACATCTCAGTCGTGTACAGTTTTTGAGTGCTATTCGACCCGACAGTCTGGGTTTGGATTTATACGAAACATTAGTTGCACAATACGAAGTGGCCACTACAGTGCCAGCATTTTAGAGAGGTTTTCATATCCCTTCATGTAAAGAAAGAAATCCTATGACGGAGTGATTATTCCCTTTTTCCCCACGTGAAAATGTAGATAATAATAGAGTGAGTTGCCCACAGTTTCACAGCCACTAAATTTCTTTCCTCTCGTGTGGGCAAAATTTTGTATCTCACTAGTGACCCCTCGTACGTTTTCCCTTTTCTATGCTATAGTGTTCTGAAATTCAATGATTTTTCAGTTCACGTTCCTCAAAACATGAGCCACGAAAGGCTGTCCTCGACCAAATTTTTAACCTGACCAGGAAGGGAGGGGCTGCTTCTCCCTCAGCCTCCTCATTTGAAAAGCAAGTAACAAGAGCTCAATCGTCGTGTATCTTTGCTAGTATCCTGCTTTTAAATAAGTAGGTGCTACTAAAACGACTTAAACTGTCGATTCATCCGTCATTAAGTCATTACTTATTGAGTGTTTACTATGTGCCAAGCACTGAAGGGATAACCAAGAAAATCAGATTCCAGCCTTCATGGTTGAATGGATTCCTTGATCACTTTTTTATTGGCAAAAATCAATTTTCAGGTAGCTCACATATCTAATGCAGGGAGCCTATTTTTAAAGAACCTATCTAACTTCAATCCCTCTTTCCAAAACAAAATATATTTTGTATGTTAAATACAAGGATTAAGTTGCAGTTGTAAACATTGCCACCCTACATTGTCAGACATGTTAAAATTTCAGCAAGACAAGTTATTTATTTTAATGTTTACTTATTTTGAGGGAATGAGGGAGCATGAGCAGGGGAGGCGCTGAGAGAGGGAGAGAGAGAATCCCAAGCCAGCTCCACACTCAGCGCAGAACCAAGGTGGGGCTGGATCCCACCACCCTGAGATCATGACCTGAGCCTAAATCAAGAGTTGGATGCTCAAAAGACTGGGGGCTACCCAGGTGCCACTACTTAATTAGTTTTAATACTGCATATTAGGTCATAATTTCATGTACCATAATTAATTTAAACTCTTCCAAAATAGTGGAAATTTATAGTTTCTAATTATTCAAATTAACAATATTGCAAAGAACATAATAACATTTATGAGCATCTTTGCACATTTGATTATTTCTGAGGAATAGGTTCCTAGAAGTAGAATTGCAGAACAAAGGGGTATAAGCATTTTCAAGTTTGATACATATTGCCAAAATGATCCAAAATGGCTCTTCTGATTTACATTTTCTTTATTTAAAAAACAAAGAGTTGTCTTTCTCTTAGCCCCATGCCTTAAGATAGCTGACAGATTTCAGTATTAAAAAAGAAAAAGTGAAATCGATCTGAAACTCATTGTCCCTATTACTAACAATAGCTCTGAAAAGTCTCCAATGTAAAGATAGTGTGCCTATCTTTAATGAACTAAAATGAACAAAACTGACATTTCCTAAACACTTAACATCCCATTTTACAACAGAAGCACAGAGAGAAGAAAACAGCTCACAAGAGAAAGCAAGGTGAAACTATTCTATTTCTCTTGCCTCTTGGTCATAAGTTCAAAAGACTTCTTACTGATTGAGCACCCTAGGCTTGTGAGTGCTTCTGATTCAAAAGAGTAGACAGAATAGAAGTTAGGTATTCTAGGACGACTTTTAGAACCTTAGCTATTCCCATAGTCCAAATGGCCTGGGAAAACCATGGCCTTCTATAATCTCCGCGAAAGTTTCTGAGGTTCCGGAATGATCAGATATCATCCACATGACCTAGCTGGTCATGAGAACTTTATGTCCTGTGGAGTGGTTTTTTGATAGTGAAGAGAATATTATGTTCTCTGTTTGCTCTATACTTTTGAAAAGTAAGACAGTTACAGTAACTTAATTTATAAATTTTCTAAGATTTTACTTCTTTTTGTTTTTGTTCTCATTTGTCTAAGAAATTCCCCTGGGAGAAAAATAAGAAATTACCTGAAATGCCTTCACTGGGAAGAGACCGCCCTGCCCACCACACACACACACATCCACTATATCCACTATTATTATGTTTGGACAAAATACAACTTTTGAACATTTGCCTTAAGGCATCCCATTATGCAGTAATAGTTAACCTTTAACTAACATTAACCTATTCATGTTTACAGGTAAGACTTCTTTTAAAAAAAATTTTTTTTTAATGTTTTTTAAATTTATTTCTGAGAGAGGGAGACAGTGTGAGCAGGGGAGGGTCAGAGAGAGACAAAGACACAGAACCTGAAGCAGGCTCCAGGCTCTGAGCTGTCAGCGCAGAGCCCGATGCTAGGCTCGAACCCACAGACTGTGAGATCATGACCTGAGCCGAACTCGGTCACTCAACCGACTGAGCCACCCAGGCACCCCTGCACTGCTTTTTAAACTTCATATGAATCTATAATTATTTCAAAAGAAATCTTGAGACGTGTTCCCTTCAAACTTGTAATTTGTTCAATAGCTAAGTGATAATAAACTTCAAAGGCTTAAGAAAAATGTGTGGGAGTATAATTCACATTTTTCGGGCTACACCACCTCGGTAGTTAGTCAAACAGGGTTGTGATAGCTAGCACACACTGAGCCTCACAGACTGCCCAATCTGTTGAATTGTGAACCTTGCTTTAAAGGCCTTCCCAACTATCAGGAAGAAGCTTGGAAGTGTCTCCAGCCGACCTCTCTACCACTGTGAGTCGTGTCTACTTTCTTTAACCTGTGCCTGGCCCTAACATAATCATCTGAAGATGAAGCTCCTCACAGAGGTCTTCAATGTTTGCATGGAAGGTTCTGTCTCCTATCACCATCCTATAATAGGAGCTACCAGCCCATGTCAGAATTGCATTGGATTTTCCAGAGCACTTTTCTGAAATGGGGAATATTCCTTTCCCCTTTTTGTCATAACTATATCATGTAGGTCCCTCAAAATTTTTAATGAAACAGCCCTTTCCATTTTTACTCACAGAAATCTTTTAGGATTTAAGCATGAATTTGTGGGGGCTAGGCCAGAGAACCAACTGAGTAATAAACACTATAGTGTTCCAGTCATCATTCCCCTAGGGACTGACGTTTTATCCTTAAAACTGGTGTACACCACTCTTTACCCTGAAGGTGGGTTCTTAATCTGGGAAATTCCCTGGCCCCACGTTAGAAGTAGATCTCGTAGAAGTGGAGGTTGGCACACCTCTTCAGATATGCTTAAATATATTTGTTCCTGTTTGATTTCAGGCTGCTACCCCTAGTCTCACAAAGTGAGTTCCAGTCACTAATTATCAAAGAACTAGAAAAAGGACACTGTTTAAGTAAGGGAATACCCCTGCCTACACAATCAAATGAACAATAGTGTATCATGGTTAAGGATGTGATCTAGAGCCAGACTACCTAGTTTAGAGTCTTAAATCTTGAAATCTATAGCATTGCCTTGCACTGGCCCAGCTAATAATGGAGCCAAATTTCCCAGCCATTGCCATCCACTGTGGAATGCCCTAGGAGGAGAGGCTTTCTCAGTGCTAGATGTTTAAAGATATTTTTAATAATTAAAAAAAAATTTAATATTTATTTATTTATTGAGAGAAAGT